TGAAAAACAAACTTTTCTTCAATTTGCTACTAAATCACACATAATCACTGTAGTTGGGCAGTTCCATATGCTAGAAGAATAATGGTACATTTAATACCATTAAGTATTTATTCCCATAAGAGTGGAATATATAATTTTTCTATATAAAAATTAGATTTTGCACCTGTTACTGTTGTTAATAAAAGTCAATTTTGTATGCATCTTAACTCAAGCTTAGTGCTTTACTGTCAAATCTGTATAAACAATAAACAAAAGAAAAATAAATAAATAAGAAATTAACATGTAATATTATTAGTAACTGCACTTATTAATGCAAAACAATAGTAATTTTATGATTAAATGATCTATGTTTTAATACTCCTGCACACCACCCCCAGCGCTACCAAATCTGCTCCTGGCACCACCATCTGTAGAACTTAGTGGCACTGGCGCCATTGCTCTCAAATGTTAGTCTGGAGCCCTGGTATTGCATATCACAATACAAAAAAGATATGTATTGTTTAGCTATAGCAATATATTTTTAAACAACAAAAAAATATATATATTTGTATATGTGAATTTTACTACAGTTAAAGCCAAAAAGCCATGTTTACTGTAGTAAAACAATATGCCAAAAAACATGGTTACTAAATTTTTGCTGTGAAAAAAAAAACTTTTCGTAAGGGGTTTTATTAGTTTACATACAGATGGTTCAATTAAACCTTGAATGTTGTCAATGTTTAAAAAAAATAACAAATATTATCGAACGTTGGTAATGTTTTGAGGGAAAATGTCACTTGAGTGTCAGTTTCATTTCTTTCTTTTTCTTTTTTATATCGTGATACAATCGTAATCGTGAACCCAGTACCGTGAGCAGAGCATGTTAGACCCATAGACTGTGGGTTACACCTCTACCCAAGACCATTTCCTGCAAGTAGAATAGCCTCGACTTCAATGCAAGCAGTACAATCGTGCCCTTATTTACGTACTTGCCACCTTACATCATACATACATATTCTGCTGTTTTAATCCGTAATGGAGCGCTTGCACCCTCACACTAAGCCTTGTTATACAGCTGCCAAACACTCAAGATCAATGAGCATGAGAGCATATAAACCGCAACCATACGCTTTTCGTACCTATTTTCCACCTTACCCCGTTTAATTCCGCTGTTTCAGTCCGTAATGCTGCACACGTTGGCTCTCGTGCATCAAACGGACTGTCAGATATGGCTGCAAACGGCGAGAGATGTTGTGAAAAGCGTTTGGTTAATGGTAATAATTGACCTACTCTGAGTACCGTAGTGACTCCCGCCAGAGGTTTAAGGCTAGTAGAAGCAAATGGATACAGCTACGGGCAAAATCTCGCGAAATCTTACGTTTAGGGGTAGGATTGGGATGGAAACAGCGCTCATCCGGCGAGATTTCGTGAGATTTTGGCCGTAACCCTTCTAACCACACAACCCCGCCAGATGCGCAAAATGTGGTATGCATTATATGCAGCAAGGAGGGAGGCGCCAAAGTGCCAAAATCACTTCTTAAAAAAATAGTAATAAAAATTATATATATATATATATATATATTTAAAAAACCTAACTGGTGTTTAACATCATCACCATAATTCACAAGTGATACACTATAAACGATTTAAGAAATCAAATAGGCCTACTTTTGTGTTAAAAAATCATGTAAGTGTGCTATATTATATTATAGTGAACAGAGATTGATTGTTTTTTATTAGTATTTTCCTCCTAAACTGTTTTCTCTGCAAACTCTCTGAGGGTAATACGAATTTAGTCAAGAGTAATTAGTAAAACTTCCTGGATGCAGAACTGTCTGTGCTCTGTCAGACGTTTCCTGATGTTTTAGGTCTGATCGAAACTTTATCACACCTTTTGTACGGGAGTGTGAAGACCTATAAGTAATGTGTACTTCTGCTTAGCTGGGTCTTCCTCCTGCAGAAGCGCTCTGTGTTGATAGACCTTCTTGCAAGAATAAAATATCAAAGTCAGACATATCTCAGTGTTAATTTCATCTCAGCCTCACCCGAAATATGTTTGTACACCGTTTTTCCACTAGAGAAAGAAAACATTTTGTTTATCATTTTAACCCTTTGATGCACAACATGGGTCTAAAGTGACCGAGTGAGTTTATTTTTTCTGTCTCTTTGCAAGAAATTAATTTCATCATTCAGTATTCCATGAATTCCTCAATTAACTTGTTTTTGACCATCACAAATCCTTATTTTCATTTTTCCTTTATTACTTTTTAAATAAAAATTTTTTTTGTATCACTACTCCTCTAATGCACAACATGGGTCTAAAATGACCCGTATTCATTTTCTATGTTATTTCAATCATGATTGAGTGTTTCTTTACTCAATCTTTGAATGAAATGCATTTTATCATTTATTATTTCAGGTTTATTTTCCTTTTATTACTATATAAACAAACATAAATTTTACACAAAAATGACCCATATAGAAACCTTTGATATTTGCTAATTTTTTGCAAGTAAGATATTTACTGCAGAAAACTATTCACCTGCCCCTCATTCCACAACTCAACATGGCTGCTTTTGTATATTTGATGCATGTAAGTCTTATTTTGTAATTTATTACCACAGAAAATATTTGATATATTGTGAAAGATAACTAGACATAATATCTGAAAGTTAGGCTAAGGTTACCTTGACCTTGAAATCCATTATTAGTGAGAAAGAGAAACATGTCCAATACTATTAGCTAGCTTGTGGTGTTGTGTTATTCTAGCTAGCTAATGTTAGCTAGGTCAACAAAATAAAAGTTGAATAAATTTATGCATAAATCAATACTATTGGTTGCCCTTTATGTCTGTCAGTGTTCCTGTAAAGTAACAGTTTTGCACATAAAAGGTTTTTGTCTGACAGTGACGATATATTATAAGTAGAGGTGTGACCCTCGACATCCTGGCCAGATTTGCCCATTGCCCTCTGACCATCATCGTGGCCTCCTAACCATCCCCATATACTGATTGGCTTCATCACGGTCTCCACTCATATACTTGAACAACTGTTTGATGTACATTTGAAAATATTTGTGTGCTTTTGATTTTATTTATCCAGAGTTTAGTATGGCTGGTCTCAATCATTCGAGATTAATGACTGAAATGGTTGTAGAGATGCTACAAAACGAACAAGATGAGTAAGATCAAGCCATTCTTAGTCCTGATTCAGAGTCTGAAATATCTGATGCTGATGACCTAGACCAACATTGGTCCTGAAGAGCCACAGTCCTGCAGAGTTCAGAGTTCAAGCCAGCCCTAATCAAACACACGTGAACAAGCTAATCAAGGTCTAAGTGTTACCAGAAAGCTACAGGCGGGTGGGTTTTTATTAAGATTGGAGCAAAACTCTGCAGGACTGTGGCTCTCCAGGACCAATGCTGACCATCCCTGGCCTACAACTTCACTTCTTTTTCTTTTTTTCAGTCACATTCACTACAATTCTCTACAGTTGCACTACAGACAGTTCAATTTCAGATGTATTGGTTGTCAGTGATATTTGTATGTTATGTGTGACAAAGTGGCAAATAAACATATTTCAAGTGTTAAATGTGTTGGTCTAAATAACTGGTAAAATAATTTTTTAGTCTTTATTCTTTTGTTTTATCACGCTTGCATAGATGGGTCGTTTTTGACCCATGCGTCTAAACTTGATGTAGTAACACAACCTAGTAAAAGAATAAAATATTAATTTGTGGTCATTGAAAAAAGATATTTTGAATATTCATGGATCATGAAATTCATAGATCAGGGAATATTAAAAGCTGAAATAAACTGATTTCAAAAGATATAACAAAAAAATGCCCAGCAAAGTATGAAATAACATAGGAAATGAATACGGGTAATTTCAGACCCATGTTGTGCATTAGAAGGGGTTTGTATAACTTGTGTATCAAAAGGATAAATGTGTTAGAAAATGTATTTAATTAACATTATATTAAACTAACAAAGTTAACATTGTCTTAGTGTTATTCATGTACAAGGGTCAATTTACTCCATGAAGATGGAGGACAACAAAGAGATTATAGAAAATGACAAAGCAGATGAAAAGAAAAGTTAGGACCAGGCCATACACAACTAAAACATAAAATGCATTGCAGATCTAGATAAAATATATATTTGGTGAAATATCTTGTCTCATTACTGTATTGGATGAAGAGCAAAGTGACAAAAAAGCAAGTGACTCCAGAGCAGATGAAGAGAACGTGTAGGACTAGCTACACAACATATTATGAATACATTAAAGATTAGGGTATTGCATTTAAAGGGGTCATATGATGTAATTTTAATTTTTCCTTTCCCTTTGGAGTGTTACAAGCTCTTGGTGCATAAAGAAGATCTGTAAAGTTGCAAAGACTAAAGTTCTTTATAAAAGTTTAGAGTCAGCCACGCCTACCTTAAACGTCTCTTTCTAACACCCCCCACCCCCCCACGTCTACGTCACAATGTGGGAAGATTTGCATAACGCCGCCCAAATGTTCCCGCAAAGAAAGAAGGCGTAACTTTTATTCTCGCTGTAGTATTGTTGCTGCCGCCATGTCGTGAAGATGCTGTGTGTTTCGTTGTGAAAGCGAAACTACTTTGTTTGGCCTTCCAAAAGAGGACGATATCCGCTTCGTCATGCCTGGAGCTGATCCGTGCTGGTTGCTGAGGAAATACATCAACTTCGCGCTGTGGATCGCCGGATTGGCTTTCACCGTGGACGAAGCGGAGTCCAGGCCGGGGTCGTCACATGTGGTTGCCACAAGCCCTCCAGCCTCCGCTCACTCTAACCTGCCCGCCGCCGCTCACTCTAGGCCTCCGGCCGGCGCTCACTCAAGGCCGCCGCGTGTGACGCTGTTTCGTTGTGAAAGCAAAACTACTTTGTTTGGTCTTCTGTTTCTCCGATCACAAATGCAGATATGGTTTTATGTTTACGCGGTGCGATGCAACGCAACACGTAAAAAGAGAGTATAAGTCATTATAATCCGTAATTATGTCCCCACTGGATGCAACAAATGCCTCGTTTATAATGGGTTTTTAATGTTTTTGTCTCGTTGCTCCGGCCGGGACATGGCATCACGGTAGGGTAAGGGGCGTAACATTTCCGTCACACGCTTGAGGTATTCAGCCAATCACAATGCACTGGGTAGCTGGCCAATCAGAGCACACCTCGCTTTTCAGACCGATGAGCTTTGTAAAAATCTACGCGTTTCAGAAAGGCGGGGCATAGAGGAGAAACAATAATGTACAGTACGTGGAAAATAATGTTTTTTGAAACTTAAACCGCATAAACACTTTTCATTACACCAAATACAAATCATATGAACCCTTTAAGATCAGAGCATTGCAACTGTTGATTTTTCTTAAAAAATATGTTTGTTTTCTTCATTTATTTGTCATATAATGTCATCTGATCTTCAACAAAGTGGCTACCATGTTGGAAAAAGTGACTATACCTTGTTATTAGCTAAGATTTTTTGTTTTGTGATAGTTGTTTAGAGTCTCTTGTTTGATCTGAGAATTTAACAGAGAATCGATTCCAAAGGTTGGAATCAATTCCACTAAAGGGAATCGACTCTTCTTTAAGAGCTCATTTAAAGGTGACATATCATGAAAATCTGACTTTTCCAGGTTTTAAGTGCTATAATCAGGTCCCTGGTGCATCTACCAACCAAGGAAACGTGAAAAAGATTAACCCAGTAACTTTGTTTTGGTAAGCCTTTTTCTGCAAGCGTTAGAAAACGAGCGCGTCTGATTTCGCTCCCTTGGTGACGTGGCAAAGGGATCTCATTATAATATTACCGCCCCTTAATCTGTAAGTTTACACCCACGGCGCCGTCATTTTGATTTCTCAAGTGACAGCGGTGTACCAGCTCTAATGCCATGGTGAAAGTTTGAGCAAAACACGCTAACTGTTCTGTCTTTGGCTGCACAGACGAGCACAGAACACTATTTAGAGTCCCAGCCTCAGAGGAGACAAGAGAGCAGTGGATTGATTTATTTACTGTATATTGCTGCTGCCACACAGATCTAAAATAAACATGCGACTTATTTCCCAGCAGTTTACCTTCAGAGACATAACCGACTGTTGACAAAACTTTGATGTTTAGATAGTAAGAAGGCTGTTTACTACAAAAAACACTATGAAATGGCATTGTAAAACATCTCACAAATGTTGTGGTTTGCTGTGGCATTGTTTTAGTTGTGAAAACAAACACATACTTTTCATTATATTTTGTTATTTATTCGCAAAGTTTATGTATGTGTCTGTGTGAATGAGTTAAACACAGGGCTCTTAGAACTGAACAGAAATTTGTTCATTCATTTGATCATTTTTAAACTACAGTAAGAATTGAAAAAGAATCGAAAAGCTTTTATCCCGTATTTCATAGTGACAAAGTTGGCAAGCATAATAACAGGTATGTTTAAGAGGATCACAGCAACATCACATATGAGTCTGGATAAATCATAAGTCCAGCATAGAGTGGTTCAGTGAATGTTGTGTTGAATGTGTGTAAGTGTGTGAGTGTGTGTGTGTCAGAGACGCTGTAGAAGGACAGAGTGCCGGCCGGACAGTCCACATACACTCCTACTCTATTAGAGAGAGGTGATGGAGCAGGAATGTCTGTTTTATTACTGTTGTGACAGGCAGTGAATCTTTTAGGAGTGCAGGTCAAACTCCAGGAATTTTCACTGTAGTCAAACCAGCAGTCCTTGCTCATGCCTTTCCTGCTGATTCCTTTATAAACCACTGAAGTACGAGCTCCTTGTCCGTTCCATTCAACCTCCCAGTAACAGCGTCCAGTCAAACTCTCTCTACACAAAACATTACAATAGTAATCAAATCGGTCTGGATGATCAGGATATGGCTGAGACTCTTTCACACGTGTGACCTTTCTGTTCCCCTCAGATAGAACAAGTTGAGGGTATGCTGTGTTTGGATCCATTGTGAAATCACAAGCGTCTAACAACAAAAAAAAGATATGTATATATCTCCTCTGAGGAAGTAATAAGTAACAAGAAACAAAACTAAATTTATAAAGTTTTATATTTTTTTGACAATGACCCAGTTGACAACAATTGGTACGTGAGGATATGTCTATGTACAGTATGTCTATGTGATTAAAAACTCACATTTTCGTAGTCCTGGTGTAATCCTGCTCTCTCCTCCATGGTCCAAACTACAGTGACAAACAAAGTAATTTTTTAACTCTCTTGCCCATTAGCGATTCACTTGTAGTCATATTAATGAAGTCCAAAATAGGGGAAAATATCTTATATAGGAATGTAAACATTTTTTTTACTTGACACAAAACATAAAAAATATAATAGTAGTTAATTGCCTCCAAAGTTTCCTAAAAATAAAAAAAGAAAGATTTGTAGACAGTTTTAATGCACACCTACTGAATTTGATTAGGGACCCTAATTTTAGAAATAAGATAAAACCCTAAATTAAGTTGTACATACTTGAGTGTCTCCAGTGTGTAGTTTGGATCATTTAGATGAGAGATCAGCTGAACTCCTGAGTGTTGTGGGTGATTGTAGCTCAGATCCAGCTCTCTCAGGTGTGACTGGTTTGAACTCAGAGCTGAAGCCAAATAACGGCATCCTTCATCGCTCACCATACAACCTGACAACCTACAGGAAATAAACAACATGTTTATATACAGTTCATTGAGTACTTTGATAAGTCAGTGTATAGAAATAAATACCTCAGTATGTGTAGTTGACAGTTGTGACTCTTGAGAGCATCAGAGATCAGCTTCACTCCTGAATCCTGCAGGTCATTGTTACTCAAATCCAGTTCTCTCAGAGGAGAGTTTGATGATTGGAGAGCTGAAGCGATGATTTCACAACACTGATGAGTAAGTTTACTGTCAGCAAGACTATAACAAAAAATTTAATAAAACACAATAAAGTTAATTTGATTTGCAGAACTTTCTCTCATCTCTCAGCAGATCTCAACTAATTTCCAAATTATATATATATATATATAAAAAAATTTTTTAATGGTTTTTAAAACCTATGATCTCAAAACATTTTTGTTACATGTAAGAGAGGCAGTGCTCCAACAGTATTGATATTTAGTAACAGGGACTTTTGTCTCTAAACTGTGGTCCAGATCAGTGTGTGTAAGCAGTGTGGAAACTTATCATGAAAGTAATCATGATCCTCAACACATTTCATATTGTATTGTGGCATATTAATCAGGCACTAAACGTCTACTGTATAGATGTGAAAACTGTCCAGTCCACTTGGCAAAGTTGTCAGGTATTACACATTTCCCTTTCTGTCACTCCTCTCACTCTACACCAAACTCTTAATCTCTGTATTGCTTGGTGATACAGCCACATTAGTCTAATTACTCTTGATATTGCTTAAAACTGAATTTTAATAAGCTCTACTCACAGAGCTCTTGTGCAGTTGTTGACAGCTGGTATGAGTCTTCTTCTGCCCTCCTCTGTTGTGTTATATTTCTTCAGATCAAACTCATCCATCACCTCCTCTGATACCTGAAGCATGTAGGCTATTGCTGAACAGTGAGCAACAGAGAGTTTCTTCTCTGAGTGTTTGTCTGATCTCACAAACTCCTCAATCTCTCTGTACAGAGTCTGATCATTCACTTCAAGCAGACACAGGAACAGATTGATGGATCGTTCAGTGGAGAAATCCCGACCATCTTTGATCTTGTCTTTGATATATGTAATAGTTTCTCTGATGCTCTCTGAGGTGTCCACCGTGTGTGTCAGTAGACCCTGTAAGAGTCTCTGACTGGACTCCAGTGAGATGCCCAGCAGAAATCGCAGGAAAAGATCCAGATGACCAGTTTTACTCTGAAGGGATTTATCCACTGCACCTTTCAGTACAGTATAAGTTACATCAAAAAACTGTGAAGTGCCTAGGCTGTTGTAATAGTAAAACACATAGAGAGCAGCAAGGAACTCCTGAAAGCTGAGATGCATAAAGCAGTAGATTTTCCTCTGACGAATGACAGATTCCTCCTTAAAGATCTGAGTGCAGATGCCAGAATACAGTGAGGCAATGTCAGTGACGTCTATCCCACACTCTCTCAGATCATCCTCATAGAACATCACATTGCCCTTCATCAGCTGTTTGAAAGCCACTTCAGCCAGTTTCACAATCACTTCTCTGTTAAACTGCAGGAGTTTCTCTGGATCTCTCTCTGGATCATACTTCTGATTCTTCATCTTCATCTGAATCAGCAGGAAATGGATGTACATTTCACTCAGAGTTTGAGGGATTTCTGCTCTCTCGTTGTCTTGTTTCAGGATGTTTTCAAGCACAGTGGATGAGATCCAACAGAAGACTGGTATGTGACACATGATGTGGAGGCTTCTCGCTCTTCTAATGTGTGAGATGATTCTGCTGGCTTGATGCTCATCGCTGATTCTCTTCCTGAAATATTCCTCCTTCTGAGCATCATTGAATCCCTGGATTTCTGTCACACGCTGGATGTATTTGGAGGGGATCTGATTGGCTGCTGCTGGTCTGGAGGTGATCCAGATGAGAGCAGAGGGAAGCAGATCACCTTTCATGAGGTTTGACATCAACACAGACACTGATGAAGCCTCAGTCACATCACAAACTTTCTCACAGTCATCTGAAAACATCAGCGTCATTCTGCTTTCATCCAGACCATCAAAGATGAACACAACTTTACACGCATCATAAATCTTTGAGTTTAGATCTTGAAGTTCAGGATGAAAGTCCAGCAGAAGTTTGTGAAGACTGTAGCGATCGTATTGGATCAAGTTGAGCTCTCGAAATGGAAGCACAAAGATGAAATCTACGTCCTGATTGGCCGTTCCCTCGGCCCAATCCAGAATGAACTTCTGCACAGAGACTGTTTTTCCAATTCCAGCGATGCCTTTAGTAAGAACACTCTTGATTTTCTCTCTTTGATATTGTGCTTCAGGTAAGGCTTTAAAGATGTCATTGCAGTAGATTGGAGTGTCTTGTAAGTGTTGTGTTCGGGGCTTTTTCTCCATGTGTAAAACCTCATGTTCTTCATTCACTCCTTCCCTCTCTCCTTCTATGATGTACAGCTGTGTGTAAATTCTCTTCAGGAGGGTTTGATTCTCTTGTACTTTGATTCCCTCAAATAAACTCTCATACTTGTTCTTCATGCTGGTTTTGTGTTTGTCTTTCACTCTCTGCAGAACATCATCCACTGGTTGATGTGAATCCTGCTGATGGTCTTCAGTCTCCTCCAGCAGGTCTGATTCTGTGCAGCGGTGAGCAGAACTAGATTCCTCCATGTGTTTGTGTGATTGTAGAACAGGACGTGTTTTTGATCTCTTTCTACATTGAGGACAGTCAAAGTCTTCTGATGTTCTGGTCTGGTCCCAGTAATGGTTGATACAGTGTCTGCAGAAACTGTGTCCACAGGTGATAGAGACTGCATCTGTCTGAACCTGCTCACAAACTCCACATCTGGACTGAATCTGGATCAGAACATCCCTCTGAATACTGAGCAAACACACCATTCTGAATCACACCGATCAATGAGCATAGAAAAAATATTTGCTAATGATGACTACAGGTACAATGAGTCTCATGAGTATTATTATATTCTAACTTGATTTTGTATTTTTAAATCAAAGGCTGATACATTTTAACCAGTTGCATTATTCTGGTGCAAATCATAGGCCTGAAGGTCTTTGCACAAGTGGCAAGCTGATTGATTTCATATTTACAGACAAACTGTAGGTTCTGAATATACTGCTTTCTGTATTTGTAGTCTTAGAGTATGAAAATGAATATGATGAAAATTGTTCATGTATGCTTCAATGAGATTCAGTATGAGTTTTGTCTTACCCAGGGTCAATTGTCAGTGTTTCATCACTGAGATTAGGCAGAATAACTATTGCCTCATTACTCTTCATAGACACACAGCTGGATACTGGAGATGCTGCAGTGTCCTCCTCCATCTCCTTGACACTCATTGCAGAAGCACTACTGATCTTCTTCACCTCATTCAAAAGAAGCAGCTGTCAGTCCTAAAACAAAATCGTAAGTCACCTCATTTGTAAGTCGCTTTGGAGAGAAGTGTCTGCTGAATGTAAATGTAAAATAAAACCAAAAATTCATAGAAGTATCAGGCAGGACTCTTGTTTATTTTTGGTGACATGTTACACCTACCCTCTTTTGTGGATAATTCAATTCAAAATGTATTTCTTTGGCACTTTTTTATATTTTGTAGTGTTGCAAAGCAGCCTTACAATAAACACACATACTCGTCTGTACACGATAAACAATGTTCTAAAGAAATATTTGTCAATCTGGCCTTCCATATCTTTTCGGCAAAATGCACTCCTCCCATATACCTGCGTGGACTCTCGAGCCTAGCGCCTCAAGAGTCTGCACTACTATTAACTATGGTTTTTACCAGCGACACCTGTATCTATTAGACATATCTGTCCTCCCCCATTCAAGTAGATAGGACTGTTGTCTAGCCATGACTGAAATAGCTGCCCGGAGGCGATGCAAACATGTGTGCCCCGACTACGCTAAACGGCCTTTGCACCCATCGGCATGGATTTTAACAGTAAACCATTTCAAGCTGTGTTTATTTGCCTTCTTAATCTGACATACTAGATTCAGTTTATGGATATCTCTGCAATCGACCGCAGTTTCGAAACAGACGTGTTAAATATGGGAGAAATGTGCTGTGTAACGTTAGCTATTATTGAATACTATCTGTTAGTTACGTTACCGTTTTACTATGAATGTTATTGTTATGGTTCCGTTAGTGAGATATCTGTCAAATGTGTGGTTATTATGGTTTCACTACAAATTCATAGTTAAACTATGGTTACTGTAGTAAAAACCATAGTTAATTTCCGTAAGAGTAAGTTAACTTAGATGATTTAAAATCATGTAAAGTAAAGATGCAGTATTAGGTATTTTAAGTATTTCTCGACTTACTGTGAAAGCCTCAAAAAGAGGTTTCCGCAAGTCTTTACTTTCGGTTTTACAGTGCTTGACGTGATATAATTCTTGTTAGAAATGCGCGAAAATGAAACCAACTCAAATCTACGCAGATGGTACCGCTGTCACAAGTCCGCGGGCTTCACGGAGCGTGTAAACTTCTTCTTCTTCTTGGTTTTTAACGGCGGCTGGCACCAACGCAAATAGGTGCATTACCGCCACCTTCTGCTCCGGAGTGTGAAACAGAGTTTTAAATTCTATTTACCAACCCTGTATCCCTTATAAAATCAAAGAATACATGACTATTTATTTCACTTGCCCATTTTATTAAAACCTTAAAATTAAGATCCTGAATTCCACTTTTCCTTATTTCTACTATAATTTTTCTTCTTTCTTGTTCATACTACATTCAAGAAATACATGAGGTATTGTTTCCGCAACATGACATTGCTCACATAACCCATTTGGATGTTTCCCTGTTATTTTAAGAGTGCTATTTAAATTTGAGTGCCCTAGCAATATTCTGTTAGAGATAACCTCTTCTTTCCTTGACTTACCTATACACTTTATATTATGACTGACTTTGTTTATTAAACTGTAAAGGAATCTACCATTTTCCCCATTGTTCCACTTAACTTGCCATTCTTTAATCACTTTACTCCATATTAAAACCTTAATCTCTGATTTACTTAATGGAACTTGTATCTCTATCGTTTCTCTCTGTAAAGCTTACTTTGCTAATTTATCCACTTCTTCATTGTGTAAACTTCTTCTTCTTGTTTTATGGTGGGTGGCATCCAACGTTAACGCCACCTACTATACTGGAGTGTGGACCAGAGTGACTAACAGAACTTTATATATATATATATATATATATATATATATAAAATAATAATTTTCATAAACACACCAAAAAAAAAAACATTATTAATAATAAAATAACAATTATACTTTATATTCTATTTATTAACCCAGTTTCCCTCAAGAATACAATTAAAGAATTATAATTT